ATAATGTTTGTATTGATGTATAGCAACTTGAAATGCTCCCAAAAATGGCTCCACAGCATGTAAAAATATAATATAAGCTCTGGCGGACTTGGTTCTATGGTAGGTCTTAAAGGGTTAAGTGAACACATCATAAACTGGAATTATAAATGACCATTAGTGGTTTAACTGTAAAGAAAGACTTAAAACTTGATTTAAATGAGTGATTGTTGTTCAAGTAAGGAAAACATTCGGTGTCAGACATCTGTAAATCCATCAGCTAATGTTTCTAATGTGGAAAACAATCATCAGCAGAAGCATTGTTAGGAATAAAGTTTTTATATCTATCACCACACATCACGCACAGACTTTGGAGCTGTTTGATCATCAGACCGGCTGCTAGAATTTGCTCTCATACAGCTTTAAGTGCATGTCCAGTGAAATTTTCTGCTTATAAAATCTGTAATTTGTTGCTTGTCTATCACAGAACAGAACAGCCATGATGTCAATTCTGAGGCAATTTAATTGTGTGCTTTATACTTATCAGTGACCCCTTGAGAAAGACCCATGGTGTGTATATACACTTTGGAGTCAGCTTCAAAGATGTCTTGGAACATTTAAACCTATCATGAGGGGATAGTGCCTGTGGTTTAACCTGTGAATAAATCCTGGTTTGTTACATTAACTGCCTTTAAGTACCTTTCCAGGTTTGTGGTAACACCAGAAGCAGCCAAGCTACAAGGGACAACTTTTACCCACTCTGAGAACATGTCAGTAACCTGGAGCAATACTTTTACCTCCATGTGGTATTAGTTCAGTGAAATCCATTTATAGTTGATCACAAGGTTTATCTGATCATATCTGTGCTACCTGTAGAGTTTCAATACCTGTACCTGGATAGGTAGTTACACAGGCAATAGAAGAATTACAAAATGACATTTCAGAAAACACTTTAACAAGTCTGCAACAAATTAACAAGTGGCTCTTGGCGGAAAGGGATTGTCTGAAATACCGGAAGTGAATCAACGATTAGGCTTACTCCATATTTGTAGTACAGAAAAGTGATTTGTCACAGGGGTTTCCCTGTAGTCACATTTTCACAAGCAGAAGAAAAAGAGACCGAAGGAGCCTTAGAAAGAAGTCAAGGAACAGCCCCAAAATCAGTGCTGTCCTTTCTGATTTGATTTTTATTTTTAAAGAATAATTTTACATTTATGTTTACATCAACAGCTGGTGTGCTTAAGCCACCACACATTCCTTTATATTTTACTAAGGAAATTGGAAATAAGCAGAGCAATTTATTGAAATGTGTAGTGTAGAACCACCAGAATGCCAAACCTCCAAACCACCAAGGGGCGCCCGTTTGATCCCACCCTGCAACATCAGCAGTATTAGCAGTCCTTTATTAAAGGAGGGGTTAATTGTCACCTCATACTTCTAATTAAAATTACCAGTTACAATTTTAAAAGTATTCAAGATGAATTTTGAGGTGTTTGATTAGTCTGATTTTATCACATTTTTGACATGAAAACTAGACTGAACAGCTAATTGTCTACATTTTAAAACTAACCTCACAGTTGGCTCCAGCAAAGTAAGAAATGCATTGTAGTAAATTAATTACTGTAAAAGTATGACAAAGTTCATCACAAACTTCACAACTGCCTTCGATCACCAGACCTGCAGCCTCCCTCAGTCTCCAGTACCCTTCACTTCACCAACTGCTACTTGGTTTACGCAGATTTCGCGTCCAGGAAAAAAAGACAGTCAGCCACATCAGACCCTCATGCAAATGGAAATTACCAGTGTGGCAACTACACTAGGTGTCAAAATACAAGTAAAACTACTAACTACTTTTCTCATCAGCAAACTGGAAAAATGTTTCAGATTAGAAGTCTGATTACTTGTGCATCTACCCATGTTATACATATGATAAGTTACCCGTGTGATCTTGCATATACCAGTAAAACTAACAGTGAACATAACCTTCCTGTCGTGTTCGGGTCTCATCTAACTGATTTACAACTTAAAACACTTATAAATATTGTGTTTAACATCTGATTGCCTCAAGGCCTTATGACATCCTCCACACTATGCACTTGAACATATTCTGATGAAGTTGTGATAAACATTTAATCTTATAATCACTGAACTATATATTTTGCTCTATAGAAACCAAACTAATATAACAGGGCTGTTGAGGGTGTTGAGACCAAAACTTTAAATCTGTCTTCCAGGTTTATTGACTGTAGATTTTATAACTCTGATGAATTCTATTAGCACAAAAGAAGAACACTAACTGATCTCTGCCAACAGGTTTCCCACAGCAGCCGTGGATTTCTGTCATTTCTTATGAGATGATCTGACCAAAACCAACCCAGAAGTTGCTCAACATGTAACTGAAGAGTGCTTGAGGTCAAAGCACTTCATAATAGAGAGACTTGATGTCTGTTATGTCACTGATTCATGTTTAAATAATCAGTTGTTCAACTTGTAACACTTTATTCAATTCAATCAAGACTCAGTTAAGTGAAGCAAAAGCTCTTCTCATCCATCTAAATTTCCCAAATACTAAAATTGGTTTAGTCTTTGTTTAATTAAGTAGAAAATGCATATATCTTATCAACTAAGAATATGTTGATAATTCACTGCTGTGTCTGATTTATTAAGTTAATTTTCTTTTTTGAAAGATTTTCTCGAACTTATTTTAAGCTAGTTAATCAACCAACCAATCAATTATTTGATCAGGTTACAACTCCTGAGCCAAAGCACTATTCTGGGAACATTTGTGTGTCTGTGTGTTTAATAGGGTTAATATTGTGTTCATTTTTCTGTGTCAGACAAATAGAACTGTGATGTTGCTGTATCTGTGTTATGGTGTTTCAGAAACATTTATATATAATAAAAAAAATGAAGTTAAGTGAAGTAAGAAATGGAAAAAAACAATCTTGATCTTTTAATATAAAATTTTTTAAGTTCCAAAACATGTTTCACATTTTTCTTTTTCTGTATGTAAACATATATTTTGTTTCTTTCTTTTCTCATAGATGATATTTTCACTGGGTGTCACATAAATGGACCCAAAAGCAGACACTATGCTCAACAGCCACAAGTTTACAGTGAGTTTATTTGCGACAAAGTAGTGAAAGTTCACGGCGGGAGTTTCACGGGGCAAAGTGCCTGAAATGGGAGAGAGAGTGGAATTAGTGAATGGCGAGGTTTGTGGCGACGAGAGATTAAACAGTGAGAATGGGGGTTTGCCTTACTTGTAGCGCGGGGGGGCAGGATAGCTGTGGATCGAGGGCAGGTAGTTAAGGGCAGTTTCCAGCAGGTGAAGAGCCGCAGATGTCCTTACAGGTGGGCGACAGCGTGGGAGAAAACCAGGTGAGGCTTGGATCGGCTGATCCGGATGACACTGGGATTGTCTTTATATATATATTTTTGTCAATTATTTTAAAACAGTTAACAAATTTAAAGTTGAATGAATGAAATGAAAGTAGTAACTGACATCCACACCCCTCTGTTGGGTCATTTTATTTTAAAATATATTAATATATATATTTAAGTTTATATATATAAGTTTTTGTTCTTGCCATGCTTACTATTTAGCTGCAGAAGATACACTGACATGTTTGCAGCTACAAGGCTTATGTAGAATTTTTAAGCCGCAAGCTGGCACTGAAATGATCACGCTGACGTATTTTAACTCTACTGTGAACAAACATTTTCTCATGCGGTTTGTATCTAAGAAGCTAAAATTACTGGAGTATCTGCAGCATCTAAAATAATCACACGCTGAGTAAACTGAGATACTGAGAGGTCTTTAAACATGCTCAGCAGGCCTGTGGTTTTAAACTCATCCGTGCATGACAAGTTTAACAGCAACCAACAAAGTCAAAGCAATAAAAAAGGAAAAAAGTATATAGTAAAAAAAAACTGAAGTCGAAGTATTTTTTACAATATTTGCAATCACCCGTCATAGTGTAGCTTTTATAATTGTCCAGTTTACTGCACTGTTCTATTATCTAAATGTTAAAACTTCCAGAACATTCTCCATCAGTCATCTTTATATACAAATACCATTTATGTCTGTGTAACACTGAGTTTTCCAAAGTGAAGTAATACCACTAACAAAAGCAGCAGAACCACCATCACAATGGTGAAAATAGTCCTCAACATTAGGAACACGTGGACGGCAGAACAAGAAGATGAGCAGGTCTCTCTGTGAAGTGCTGCAATGATAAAAATACATCTGCTGTAAAACAAATAAGGTTTACCTTTAAATGACAGAATGGGAAAACTGATTGTCTCCACTTAATTATATTTAGCTACACTCTAAAATTATCATTTATTCTAGCTCTTAATTTCTGATTTAAAATGTCTGATTTGTACCTGTGACAGTCAACAAGCTCTCTGGTGATTCTCCAGTATCAAACATCTTACACTTGTAGAGTCCTTCATCAGACCTGGACACTCTGTGGATGGTCATCTCTCCTGTGTAGCTGTTCCCGATGAGGAAGCCGTCTTTATAGAAATCAGCTGTGAGGTTTGAAGTCTTTGTCTTGTTCCTGCAGCGCAGAGTCACATTGTTTCCCTCCTTGACAGGGACAACAGGACTCTCTAGGACGACAGAACCAGCTGAAAAACAAGACTTTTTATCGGATACAGAAATCTGTAACATTTCAAACCAAGCAAGCAAAACACTGAAATAATAAGTGGAACAATTTTATACTTAACAGCTGCCATGGTAACGACGTTTTGGACTCATTGATAGTCACTCATTTTAATGTTAATTTTTATTAATGGTACATAAGACTGAACAAATACTGTGGCTTGATTCATCAATATTGAGGCAACATTTGAATGGAATCATTATGATTCATTAAAATAAGTAAGTTAAATGCTGTTTACAATGAATAATAATAATAACAATAAATAATACTAAGTTCCGAATACTATAGTTATAGATAACAATAGAACATTTTTATGTTATAAAATGTTTCTGAATAACATAAATCCATCAGGTTATAAATGATGTCATAATAAAATATTTCGGTCACTCGAGTGTTAAACATACGAGTTATTGTGATGTTGACACTGATGCTTTTCTCTCCAGCTCCAGTCTCACACCAGTATTCGCCGCTGTCTGTTGCATAGGCTCGATGAATCGCACACAGTAGTGTTGGTGAGCTCTCATCACACACTGAAATGAGTATTTCTGTATTTCTGATCCCTTTTAACTGAGAAGCTCCATCAAGACCCTCACAGTGAAAGAAGACAGACTCCAGCTCAAAGAACTGCAGTCTTTTTGGGACGATGCGAAACGCAGCATCTTAACCAGAAAGACATCAAATGAAGTTACTGTATAGAGTAAAGGAACAATCAATCATTTTTGTAGTAAACAAAGGTTTGTTGACAAAATTGTGTGATTTAAGAGAGAAACTTGCTCAGCTGCTTACCCCTGTTTTCAACATGTGCGGCCAGCAGAATAAATACAAGTAACACTGAAAAATTAAATAAATTATCAGCCAAAGAGTTTGTTACTGCAAATATAAACTCGGTTACAAATGAACTTCTGCACACGACCTCCTGCTGAATATTTATAAATGATGACATTTTAATCTGTCAGACCTTCAGTGAGTTTTATTTAATGCAAACTGTGAACACACTGACAAACATGACAACGACCAGATTGACAGAAACACTGTAATTAAATAAGTTTCCAGTGTTAATGCTGTTAAAACAATTTGTGGAAGTTTTATTCAAGTACACAGAAATATGTAAAACCAGAGAACTCACACATTGTGAAGCAGACAGCTGTAACCTTCATGTTGTCCTGCAGCTGAATGTCTGAGCCTGAAATACAGCTGCTCTGTACTGCAGATGAAAACTTCCTCTTCCTGCAGTTTGAGTTTAATAACATGAAGCCTGACTCACTGTGGTTCTACCAGAGAGCAGGTAAAGGACAAAGAGAGCAGTTAGAAGTTTGATACTGACCATGAACTGCAAAAAGAAGTCCAGCTGAAAATATTCTTTACATACAGATGAGTTACAATATATTTGTGTCTTTGTTTTAGGTTTTGAGTATTTATCGCTTCCAATCTGCAGATCAAACAACAGTTTAAGATTAATATCGACCTCTACTGCAGTCTGCACGTCAAAGTGTCCTTAAGAAAGATATTAAACGCCATGTTGCCCAAATGCATCCACCAGAGTGTGAGTGAATGTTAAACTGCTTAAACACCAAATGCTCTATGAACGTCTGTGTGATTGTATCAGTGAGGCTTGTAGTAAAAACAGCTATGAGCCCTCAGTCAGAGTAAGAAAGACTGAGAATGCATCATCTATATTTATTCAAAGTATAAACTGTATTTATAAATGTCTCACATGTGAAGTCTCTTTAAAGCACATACTCTATTGTTTTTATTACTTGTGATTAGCTTGTTTCCTATATGACAAATCAAACATAACCGTTTTTCAGCCTTGTTTGTATTCAAACACTGAGTGATGATGAGTCTAAGGGCCTGTGACTGACTGGAATCTAGAACACAGGTGAACATTCAATTAGTCTTTTTTATTTTTGCTTCACGAGGTACTTAGAAAGAGTTTTGTTTCCTAGCATTAGTTTTGTTTTGTTTTTTTGCAGCAAACAATAAATCCAGTCACTCTGACCCCGCCTCCCCCTCCTTATTTCATGATTTGGTTTGGTCCAGGTGCTGCTAGCTGATGCTGAGCAGTAAGATGGTAGGATGCTTCTGTTAAAAGTGATAATAGGAGCCTAAGTTTAAAAAGAAAGGGAGACGGGTGGAAATGAAACTCATAGTGAGGTCCACATGAAAGAAACTGCTTGACTTTGCTAGTATTAGATAGTTCACTTCACTTCTAACAGAAAAGAATGTGTGTTGTGTTATTTTAGCAAACATGTAATTGGTGCAGGCAGACCCTTTGTACGTATACTGTAAGTCTACGAAATCACTGATCTGCAGACCTGCTGCCAGGTCAAACAGATCAAACCTCTTCTTCAGGCTCAGCTGTTCAACTCCCATCTGCATACTCTGTACACTGAACCACTGATACCTGAAGAAGTTGATGAGTTATTTTATGTCAACAAATGAATAAAAATAATTTTTAGATCTCTGTCGGAGGCAGCTGACAGGTATCGACAGGCCAAGCGGAATGCGGCTCGGGCAGTGGCTGAAGCAAAAACTCGGGTGTGGGAGGAGTTCGGAGAGGCCATGGAAAAAGACTTTCGGACTG